CCCTGACTGGCGGCCACCCCTTCCGGGCCCAAGTCCTGCCCCGCGCGGGGTCCCAGCCCGCTCCCACCCTCCAGTCCCCGCCTCCGCCTCGTCCCCGCCTCCGCCTCTTCCCAGCCCAGCATCCCGACCGCAAGAGGTGACGGTGCGCGGATGCTGGCTTTCTTTCGCTGAAGTTTTTTTCTTTTAAACTGTTTACAAAATCTTCACTATTTTCCGCATCAAAGAACAGAAGATCCAAATGGTCATAGCTGCCTTTTTTCCTTTTTTGTGATTCTACTACTGACCCCAGGGAGCACTATAATCTAGGGAGCAAATCTAGGGAGCATTATAATCTACGTCCCTTTTTTGTACCGGGGATCGAATTCGGGCCCTTGCGCTTTGGAGGCGGGCGGCAGAACCATTGAGTCAAATGCCCAGCCTTTTAAAGATCTTTCCAGTCGACGTTAAGTTGCCCAGGCTGGCCTGGCACTTCAGATCCTCCTGCCTCAGCTGCCCATATACTGCATCTCCATCTTTAGCTGCTGCTACTTTTATTGCTCTCTTCCATGAGCTTCAGGAAAGACTTTATATTGCATTTTTGTGCCTCAGGAACCCTGAGAGCAGTGTGGACCTCAGGCTGCCTTGTACCTTTCCCCTTCCCTAACGCCCAGTTTTCTCTTGGGAAAATAACTCTCCACTTAGAAGGCGGAGGTCTTAGGCAGACTAGGGGTGGGAGCACAAGGGATTTGCCTGACACACCGCCGGAAGTGTGGTCCTCCTTGGTGTCAGTGGTGCCCTGGAAAACCCCACCCAGACATCTCTGGAGCAGAGCAGGGGTCGGAGCCCCTTGGGGGCGGGGCTTTAGCTGGCCTGGGTCCTCCTCTTACCACTCCTGGGGCGTACCTCCTTGGGAACAATGCCAGCTGCAGGAATGCGCGGGGGGGGGGCATGAGAGCAGCGCTCCCAGCCTGACACTGACTCACTCTCCTTGTAGATAGGGCTGGCGAGGCCCTGGCACATGGCTGCATCGTGCCTGGGGTCACCAGCACCTGTAGACGGATCCTGGACACGGAAGATGGGGGCACACCGCACCTCCCAGAGGGAGGGGGTGAACCAAGGACTCTTCAGAGGCAGGTGCCACCTCCCACACTGGCCTCCTGGGACTCAGGGGTGGAGATGGTGGCAGGGGACAGCTCCCTGGCTGCCTTCCCAGGACTTTCTCAGGACTCTCTGAACATGGAGCCCATGGGGAGCCCCGAGCCCCAAGCCCTTGCTGCCCCAGAGCCCCCCAGTCAGTTGGGCCAGCTGCTGGCCAGCCGGAAGCTGGAGCAGGCTCTGGAGCAGTCCCAGGGGCGTGCCCACTTGTCCACACAGCACTGTGCCCTGCCAGCAGCGCCGTGGAGCAGGCCTGGATGTGTGCTGGCAGCAGAAGCCGAGCTGGAGGGCGGGCCCGGAGGAAGCAGAGGTGGTGAGTGTCTGAGTGTTGGCCTGGGGCTGGGGGGAAGGGGGCTTCAGGGGCCACAGAGGACTGGCAGGGG